TCTATCTATATATAATAGGAGAAGAAAAAACGCCACATGTCAGCGCCACAATTTTTCAGAATTTTAAATAATAAATAATTAAATATTTTATAACTATTTAAAATATTTAAATACACACTTTTAAATTAAAATAGACACATGTCATTAACTTATCTAAATAGTGACAAATGTCAGCATTTTAAAAACAAATTTAATTAGTAAAAAAATTGATTTTTAAAAATATACGGAAGATTCAATATTTTAAAAAAGATATTTATAAAAAAAATTAAATTACAAATTAATTTATTTTTTTAAAAAAAATATGTATTTTATTTAATATGATCTTTTTAAAGATAGTTACCATAGTTAATATAACTCTTTTTAATTTTTAACTAGTATTCGTGCCCGCGCGTTGCGCGGATATTTTAAAATATAACAGTGTTAAATTAAATTTATAACGTTTTTTTATTTTTCATTTATTTCAATTTATTTAAAATGCCATTGTTCAGGTTTTATTGGAAGATTATCATAATCTAACAAATAGTAGAGAAAAAAAAGCAACCAATTGACTTAAAACTATCGTAAGATCTTATATTATGTACAATAAAATTTATTTTTTAAAAATAATTCTTAGAATTTTTCAAGAATTAATTTCATAAGCAATTCTCATATAGATAGTGATACAAACCAATTGAAATATAATATAACTTTGAAATAAAGAGCAATGAAAGAGGGTAATAATTAATTTTAACAAAAAATGATCTAAAATATCTTTAAATTATTGAAAATGATACAAAACTACACTGCATCCACCATCATCACCATCATCCTTGTAACTTCATTTCCCAATGTTCTAAGTTAATTTGATCCATAACTCTCGTTATTTCCCAATAAAATCATCATCTTGATTTAATATAACATGTGAATATAAATAAATAAACAATAAATTAAAGTGTTTGTACATGAAAGTAAAATATAAATGCAGTTATAAGAATTTTGATAAATAAACTTATAAAACGTAACAATTAAACATCTAATGGATTAGACCAAATCTAATTAGAACTCAATAAAGAGTTAATTTATGAAATATATTAGACAACTTTTAATGAATTATTATATATTTTGAATTCTCACAATTTACTATTTGAAACGAAATTTAATTCAATTTAAATAAAATTAAATATATTAGATAAATTTTCATGAACTATTATATTTTTTGAGTTTTCACAATTTACTATTTGAAACAAATTTTAATTCAATTTAGATAAGTAATGTCATTTAGTGGACGGTATTCGGTCCAATTTAGATAAGTTCATAAGAAGTATTAATTCAATTTAGATAAATTTTCACAAAAATAATATCATTTTTGCAGCGATATTTAATCCAATTTAGATAAGTATTCATAAGAAGTGTTTTAGGAGAAAAATATATATCGAGAATATGTGAGGCAAAGTTTATCATGCACGGCTCCGCAAATCTGTATTTGAAGTTGGTTCTCCAAGGTCCATGCTTCATATTAACTAATATTTTAACACTAATATGCAACATTTTTCACGATGTATTCTGCACAAGATCAACAATTGTAGTATAATAATATATTCTTAATTAATATAACAATATACTATTTTTGAATTTAGTTTCATTTGATGTAATTCAATTAAATTTAAAGAATAAGAGTAAGAAGCACTCCCCAAAAAATCCTGTTTTGAATTCAAAACAGATCCATGCTTTGACAATTTTTTACTTTGATCTATATCAAAACACAAAACTTTATCAAAACAAATATGATGAGCCTGTATGCTACGATGTTTGGTATACAAATTCTAATTTAAATTTTGTTAACAAAATATCTAATACATAACTTATATTTTACTTACTTCTTGATAACACTCAATCAAATATAAAGAAGTAAGAAACACTCACCTATATACCATAGTATAAGTGATAACATAACATGTCACTATAGTGTGGCAATTTTTTTTTGTTCTTTTCGTTCATTCCTAGATGTGTGACTCTTATCAAGTAAATTTAATCAAAATTTTAGATAAAAGAAATACTTAGACATCAAAGTAAACCACATCCAACTCGCTTCCCAATCTGTTGTAATAGCTTCACTTTCTCTAGATATTCATCAACTAAATTAAGAAGTAAAATCTATTTTAAAAGTATCCAAGATAATTATAGATCACATCACAATAATAGATTGATTGTATTAATTACTGCAACAAATCTTTACAATTAAATTTTTATAAGCCTAATTTAAGTACAAAATTCCTAATTTAAATCCAGTAAATTTTCAACTTTACCTTCATGAGAATGACGATTGAATTTATGAGATTTTCGTTTCTCCTTTATGAATTTGTCTTTCTTTTATTTTTTTGGTTCTTCATCTCATTAGATCTTCTGGCGTTTTCTTTTCATTTTATATAATGTATATATCTATTTGCATACATTGGGAGATATGTGAAAGTAAAAAAAAATCTCGTTTCACAATGAAAGATAATAGAAAGACAATACTGATCAGAAATAAGGAGAAGTTATTGTATTAGTTTTAAATCTACAACTATTGAGAAATAAGGAGAAGTTATTGCATTTCGTTTGGATTATTTTTTCTACTACTATTCTCATGATTTGAATTTAAACTCAAATTTTATTAAAAGAAAATCTTGATAAAGTTATTATTTATATATATAAAAAAAATTACTGGCAAAACTGCCAAAAAGCTTTTCTTTTGCACAACTTTTCATTCTTCCACTATTGTCACAATGCTTTGAATTAAAAATAACTGGAGTAATTAAATAAAGAATTATTCATTTTCTTTCCTATAAAAAGGGAATTTTTTTTAATATTTTAATTTTTTTTAATCACTTAAATACAGATCAGTTACATCATCCTATTTTATATTTAATTATTTATTATTTAAAATTCTGAAAATTTGTGGTACTGACATGTGGCGTTTTTTCTTCTCATATTATATATAGATAGATTATCAACCATTGCCATCGAGCACTATCACAATATTCACCAACAATCTCTTCTTCTATTGATGATAAAAAAAAAAAGATCAACTTATTTTTTTACTCTGTAAATTATGTTTTACAGGAAATAGATGACGCTATATGTGTGTAATATATATGACTCTGTATGTGACTGTACATATACAGACGGATTCGGAAATTGAAATTATTTCCAAATAAAACAAATCAAATACTCATTTTTGTTGTAAAACTTAAGAACAAAAGAACAATATAAAGAGGAAGAGAAGAAGACTATAAGACAAGAGAAACAATATAAGATCACTTTTCTTTCTTTCAAGTGTCATCAACATTATTCTCAACACCACTATTTATAGGATTACATTGAGGAATACCAAAGGGTGTCATAAACATTACATTAAACCTTGAGAATTACTACCCATTAAGGAGGAAATAAACCTAGGAGTTATGGTCATCCAATTAACTATATTATCAACAACCTTACTACCAATAAAGGATGAAATTAACCTAGGAGTTATGGTCATCCATTTGACCACATTATCAACAACATTACTACTCATAAAGGAGGGAAATTAACCAAGGAGTTATGGTCATCCATTTTAATGCTTTAGTGAAAAGATTCGCTAAATTATCAACTGAGCGAATTTGTTGAACATTTATTTCACCGTTCTTCTTAAGATCATGAGTGAAAAAGAATTTTGGTGAAATGTGTTTTGTTCTATCTCCTTTAATATATCCTCCCTTCAGTTGAGCTATACATGCAGCATTGTCTTCGTACAATGTAGTTGGAATATCTTTTTCCATAGAAAAACCACACATTTCTTGAATATGTTGAGTCATTGATCTCAACCAAATACATTCCCGACTTGCTTCATGGATGGCTATTATTTCTGCATGATTTGAAGAAGTCGCAGTGAATGTTTGCTTCATTGAACGCCAAGATATAGCTGTGCCTCCATAAGTAAATAAATAGCCTGTCTGAGATCGAGCTTTATGTGGATCAGACAAATATCCAGCATCTGCATAACCAATCATCTCTGACTTGGATTTATTAGAATAAAATAATCACATATCAATGGTTCCCTAAAGATATCCTAATATATGTTTGACTCCATTCCAATGTCTCTTTGTTGGGGACGAGCTGAATCTTGCCAATAAACTTACTGCAAAACAGATATCTGGTCGAGTTATTATTAGCAAGATACATAAGCGCCCCAATGGCACTAAGATATGGAGTTTCATTGCCAAGAAGCTCTTCATCATTTTCTTGCGGTCGAAATGGATCTTTATGTATGTCAAGCGATCTCACAACCATCGGGGTACTTAATGGATGTGATTTATCCATGTAAAATCGCTTTAAAACCTTTTCTGTGTATGTTGATTGATGGGCAAAAATTACATTTTTCAAATGCTCAATCTGTAGGCCAAGACAAAATTTTGTCTTACCAAGATCTTTCATTTCAAATTCTTTCGTTAAACACTCAACAACTTTTGAAAGCTCTTTAGGAGTGCCAATGATATTTAAATCATCAACATACACAACTATTATAACAAAATCAGATCAGACCTTTTTATAAAAACACAAGGACAAATAGGGTCATTTTTGTACCCTTCCTTTAGCAAAATTGGCTAAGACGATTGTACCACATTCGCCCTGATTGTTTCTATCCATATAAGGATTTCTGAAGCCTTACCGAATAATTTTTCTTGCGAATTTTTATATGCTTCAGGCACATTGTATGCTTCAGGAACTTTCATGAAAATATCGTGGTCTAATGATCCATATAAATAGGCTGTGACAACATCCATTAGACGCATTTCAAGCTTTTCATGAACTGCCAGATTTATTAGATACCTGAAGGTAATTGTATCTACCACAAGAGAATATGTCTCCACATAATCAATGTCAGGTCTTTGCGAAAAACCTTGTGCCACAAGTCGTGCTTTATATCTTACGACTTCACCTTTTTCATTTCGTTTTCGCACAAAAATCCATTTGTACCCTACTGGCTTGACACCTTCAGGTGTTCGGACTATTGGTCCAAAAACTTCACGTTTTTCAAGTGAAGTCAATTCCGCTTGAATTGCGTCTTTCCATTTTGGCCAATCATTTCTCTGTCTGCACTCATTGACAAATTTTGGTTCAACATCCTCACCTTGTTGCATTATTTCAACAGCAACATTATAAGCAAAGATATTATCTACCACAATATTATTTCGATTCCACCTTTTTCTCGTCGAGACATAACTTATTGAGTATTTCTTCATTCTCTATTATTTTCAGTTATTTGGACCTTCTTTGTGGTCTTATCATTTGTTATATCTGGGAGCTCTTCTTGAGCAATTTCCTCCATGGTATGATCTTCATGATCATTTGTTCCTTTTCTTTTTCGAGGATATTTATCCTTTGAACCAATTGGCCTACCACGTTTTAAACGTGGTTTTGACTCATTTGCTTTAACAATTTGTTCTACCGGGACATCAACTCGAACTGGAGCATTTGCTGCTGGAATATAAGATTTAGTAACCCTTGGAAGGTTAGTAAATGCATCTGGCAGTTGATTTGCAACATTTTGCAAATAAATTATCTTTTTAACCTCTTTCTCACATTGATTTGTTCGAGGATCCAATTGAGATAGAAATAATGAATTCCAATCTATCTATTTTTCCAATTGCTTATGTTCTCCCCCTAATGTTGGGTATACTGATTCATCAAAATGACAATCAGCAAACCTTGCCGTAAATATATCTCCTGTCATAGGTTCCAAATATTTGATAATAGAAGGAGATTCATACCCAACATACACCCCCAACCTTCTTTGGGGACCCATCTTTGTGCGTAGCGGTGGGGCAATTGGAACGTACACCGCGCACCCAAAAATTCTAAGATGGGAAATATTTGGCTCATGACCAAAAACCAACTGTAATGGAGAGAATTCATGATAACTAGTTGGCCTTATGCGCACCAATGCTGCTGCATGCAAAATAGCATGCCCCCATATTGAAACAGGTAAGTTTGTCCTCATTAACAATGGTCTAGCTATCAATTGGAGACGCTTAATCAAAGATTCCGCTAGACCATTTTGAGTGTGAACATGAGCAACTGGATGTTCAATTGTTATCCCAGTGGACAAACAATAATCATTAAAGGCCTGCGATGTAAACCATAGTCACAACTCTTCAGGAAAGTCACAACCCTTCATTTCCTGTTCACACCTTTAAAACCCAACAATTCATACCCAACATACACTCCCAACCTTCTTTGGGGACCCATCTTTGTGCGTAGCGATGGGGCAATTGGAACGTATACCGCGCACCCAAAAAATTTAAGATGGGAAATATTTGGCTCATGACCAAAAACCAACTGTAATGGAGAGAATTCATGATAACTAGTTGGCCTT